TGCAAGGCACTAATTTTGAAAATGTGATCTTTAGCGTTTTCTATGGGGTCCATCCCCGGCAAAGAAAAAGCGAGTTTATTTGTTTAAATAAAATCAAAGTGGGCTGAGACGTTTCTATGGAGAAGATCCAAAGCTAGGATAGTTCATGCTAACAGAACAGTTTGGAAGGGATATAAACCAAACGCAAACTATTAGGGATTAGGCGGAGACCTTCCCGGAGTCAGATTATCCTACATCTATCTGCCTGCTGCACGGTTTCCTGCATCTTCCTCCAACACACCTGGCGCTGGGCACTGCCAGAGATAGGTTGCTGGACGAGATGGAGCCAGTCTGGTAACCCCGGTATTCCTGATTCCCCGGCTACGTTAGTAGGTGACACGGGCACCCAGTGTTAAGTGTGTTACCTGTTCCCCTCCGTGCCTGCTCCACGGGGGATAGCTGCCCGCTGTGCTTTTAGATGAAGTGCTGGAGAGCCCAACCGTAGCACAGGTGGGCACTTGCCTCCAACCCAGGGTCCATTGTTTTCAACCTGGAACTATCCCTCAAGTCCACTTTGAGAGAAACCAGAGGGCTGTCTCCTGTGAGAGCATACTGCCACCTCCTGGACAGCTCCGGAAAAGCAGCGGCAACGGGCACCGCTACAAAGCCTTTGGTAAAACCCTTGCTTAAAGCCAGGTACAGTAGCAGGGAGCTGGTGGAGATTTACAAAGACACAGGAGTACACCGCTCTGCATGCCGCGAGGGGAACACATACCTGTCTTCTGGCAGCTGGGGACACTCCAGTCAGTTTTCACAAACCCTTCTCAGGGGGTTGCCTGGGTAAAACTCCTGATTAGGCCTTGACAGAGCCACTTGTTTAGCAAACATTTCCTGCTCTGACCTGAGCATGACTCCAACTCAGCCACAGACCAGGAGGCCTTGGGCACGTCCTTGCACTTCTCTGGGCCTCAGTTTTTCCAGCTGTACAATGGGGACAATACCTGTCTCACGTGGGGTCTGGGAGATGTGGCTCTAGACAGCTGTGAATGGATGCTGTGCTATGTGAGTGCAGAAGCTCCAGGGCTTATTTGGGGGAAGCGCGGGAGGAGGCGGCCTGGGTGTTACTGAACATCTGACCCGGCTGGGGTTTGCAAAAGGAGCAATAGGTAGACTTACCAACATGGGCAATGGAGGAAGGGCGAGCAGAGTCAGGGAGGGCCCATGGAACTGGTGCTGGAGGAGAGTGGAAGGCTTGAGTCAATGGGGCAGGAATCAATGGGAGTTAGGCACCAAGGTGATTTAATGGGAGTTAGGCACTTAGGCACTTTGAAAATCCCACAAGGTCCCTGTCTGTTTAGGTGCCTGAATACCTTTAAAAGTCTGGCCCGAAGAGAAGAGAAGAGAAGAGAAGAGAGTGCCCTGCGTCTCAGGTAGCTCCCCCTGTGCACACGGAATGCTGGGGACAGGAGCAGTACGACCTTGGTACTAAGGGTTAGGGTTAGGGTTGGGTCAGTGCTTCTCTGACTAAGGAACACTGAGTCCTCCCTTCCGGGTTCTCTGAGCACCCCAGAGGCAGGTACAGCCGATGAGAGCTATGTTCACTCCCCAGCCTTGGCAATAATTAAGCCTTAAGTGTTTGCGTTCAGTAGACAGAGCCCTGGTCCTTTCCCCTCTCTAGCCCAATGCTCCAGCTCTCTCTCGCTGACCTCTCAATATGCAGAGGCCCCATATCAACAATTTCCTGGATACATTTTGCTTTTGTTTTCCAGCAACTCTCTAGGCACTGCAGTTCCCGACTGCAATATTGTTTGGGCTTTTCAGAGTCTTCTCCTTCCTCCTCACTCCGCTCTGCTGCCAGGTTAGGGGAAGGACAAACAACCCCTGGCCAGGGACGGATGGAGAGTTCATTGAAAGAAATCAAAGGGCGTCTCCTCTTCCAGGCTGCCTCTGGCTCCTAGCTCAGTCCAGCCCCCAGAGAGAGAACCCAGCCTCCCTCCCCTGGGGCAGGGGGTTAACACTTTCAGTGCCAGCTCCTGCAAGGTATCACCCGTCCCATCTACAGGAACAGTCAGCACTTCACAAACATGAATTGATTAGTCCCACCGCTTTCCATGAGGTAGGTCAGCATTATCCCCATTTTACACATTTGGGAAGCTGAGGCACAGGACGGTGAAGTGATCCAAGGCCACAAAGGGCACCAGTACCTGAGCAAGGACTAGAATTCAGGATTTCCTGGTCCCCGTTCCATGCTCAGATCACTAGGCCATGCTGCCGTGGGAAGAAGACGGTGGAGCTCAGGGGTGGGAAAAGTAGCATAAACCTCTTGGGCCTGGTTCTCTCCACATGAACACCTGCTGTCTCTACTATGCAATGGGAAGGAGGGGAGAAGCAGGCCCTTGTCCAGTTAGACCTATGGATATGTAGATGGCTAGCCCCCCAGGGCTCCTGCCCCATTGGTACCAGAATGTCATGCAACGTCCTTCGGAAAGCCAAGGAGAGCTGCACACAAGTCTGCAGCAAGCCTCAGGTAGCTCACCTGTCACCTCTACCTTCCCCCAGACACTAGCCACTGGTCATGTGCTCATCCCCATACTGCTAGCTGACTGCCCATCTGCACGTGGTCCGAGCTCCAGCCCTGGTCACTCACCGGGTTGCTGGGGTTGGCTCCCAGCACTAGACCCGTGTGCGCATACAGTGTGAATCCAAGCAGAGTTCAGTCCTGGCTCTATGGTTCAGGCAACGCTCGGAGTGCAGATTCTCTTCTTGCAGCCCCTTCTGAGAGTGGAGATCCCACAGTGCAACTGCCTAGGCCTTGAGACTAGGGCTGCCTTTCCCAAACTCCTCAACTGCGTCAGCACACCCTTCCCCAGAGCTCCTGCCTGCAGGCACGCTGGCAAACACTTTACTGCTTCAGGGACACGGGCAGGTGAAGCACAGGTGATTTCTGAACCAATTAGCCAGCAGGGGAGAGACACAAACCCAAGCAAAATACAAAGCACCGGCACGCAAAGCCTTGCCTCAGTTTCCTCACCACTCGAGAATTCTTTGGCCTTTGGCTTCCAGGTCCCCTCCTCTGGGCCACACTTCTCCAGCTCATGGCTTCTCCTCCAAGCCTTGGCCTCTCTCTCTTACAGCTTCCTTCAGCCTTGGCTGGTCCCACAATCAAATGTCCCCTCTCCCTCCAAAAGCCTGATCCCGTTGTTCCTCTCTCCTGCCCCAAGTTTCCTGTGTCTCTGTGACCCACCCAGGCCCCGCGTTTCTAAAGGGCTGTATAGACACATCTCTGTTCCCTCTCCTGGGCCAGTTCCATTCCTTCAGCCCCTAGCCCTCTGCAGAGAAGTTGAGAAAACTAGGTTTTTCTAGGAGGCAGTGACTCCTCTGCTCTGCCTGGGCAAGATCTAGCCAGGTGCTGATAGTCATTAATGACCAACCAGTTCATAAACAGACACCCAGCGCCACCCTCTGCCCCTTAGCATGAGGAGTGTGAGGGGACAGTACAGCCATTGACAGCCCTAACAGACAGTTCATAAACTCAACTTCATAAGTTATACACTGGAAATTCCCCCAGTCATCACAATCCTCCGCTCCATTGGCCACCTGACACACACACACATACACACACACACACCCCCAGCTGCTGCAGGAGGTGATGCCTTTGATGGAATGTACCCCTGACGGGACGGGCGACATCCTTCCTGACTGACATTCCAGACGCATGCTGTGTCTGACTGATGCTTCTCAACAGCAGCCAGACTGGGCTTATTTGCTTGTTGCAGACCCACCGGTTGTTCCTGTTTGTGACCCAGACTCCAAGCTCTTGTATAACACGTCTAACATCTGAGCATGTTTTGCTGCTCATTTCCTTCCTCATCACCGTCTCAGCAACTTCTGTGCCTTCCAGACAATCTCTTTTCTCCCGACCTTGGATCTGCCCGGACCCTTGCTGGCTGATTGACGGCAACGTGATCTTCCCCTTTCTAGAAAGAACCTGATCCAAAGCCCTTTGAAGTCAAAGATCCCTGCTGACTTCAGTGGCCATTGGATCTGGCTCACAAAGGCCTCCTACTGATTCTTGTCCTTAGGAGGGTGGAGAAGTTCATGACCGTTGCTTCTCTGAGCATTTTGTGCACTGGCCCAGTGCACACCTATTCAAGCCCACTGACCCTGGAGTAGCAGCCCATGAGCCATGGGTACAGCAGTGCCAATGGGGCATGAAGCAGGACGAACTTGGCCCAGGAGGGTCCCCAAGCAATGGATCTGTTTGGTGCATTGGTTTGTCAACTGGGAGTCAAAATCACTTTCTGTCTTTTAGCCTTTCAAGTGTCCCTGGCTGAAAACAGAGGCCACCAGGACTTCACCTTCACTCAGCATCTCTCACACCACACAGCCCTTCATAAAATCTCTGCCTCCTAAATACACTGATATTAATGGCACATTGTCCTGAGAGTGATAACTTGGTTCTCCTGGCCACCTTAGCTTGCCCGCATTGGAGAAGATGCCTCGCCCCATTGTAGAGAGGAAGGATGAGCTTGCAGGTAGGGCCCCGGCAACATAAAGGGGTGTAAGCTGCAGTTACACCCACTTTAAGGCTCCTTCTTGCTGCCCGAGCAGCGACAAGGGGTCTCTGTGTACGTGGGAAACAGATGTTTGGCTGGAGTTTGGCCAGGATACCAGGGGCCAATACCCCACTGGTGAAAAGTGCCACATGCCACAAGGGCACAGGACTGCAGGTTTCCATGGCAACTTGAAGATGGCACCACTCACTGTCCAGGACCCCCTAACATTATGCTGAGGGCCTTGCCTTGTGGAGGAGAACTATGGTACATTCCCATGTCCTGGGCTTTCCTCGGAGGTCTCCCATCCCAGTGGGGACAGGCCCTGCCCTGGCGAGAGCAGACAGGATCCGAGCCAGGGGTGTGAATTAGGACAGCAATGCAGTCCTCCCCGCAACTCCCTAGACACAGTTGGTATTGAATGGAGCGCGGTGAAAGTCAAATAAAGGCACAGCTCACACTGAGAAGCACTTTTCTGCCACGCTCTTTAATAACAATATGTCAGTGTACATTTGGGCAGCAGGGGCAACATGCCGCCTTTAAGACTCAGGGTGGGGGTGGAGTTGTTGCTTTTCATTCATAAATACTTTTGTTTGTAACCATTGTAAAAAAAATGAGGAAGAGAAGAGCTGCCACCAATGAGTGTGTGGGAGACAATGCATGTGTGTGTGGAGAGGTGTGAAACGTGAGTGTGTGCGGGGCACGGGAGCCATAAAAAGCACAGTAAGACAGCGACCAAATGAGGCACAGTGTTCACATCACAGCCTTTTGGGGTAGGCCCTAGGCTCAGGCAGGGCCCCTGGCCTTTGGTAACTCACCCAAAGCGCTAGACAGTCCTGGGAGAGTTGGGAAAAAGCAAGCGGAGAGGGGTTTCAGCAGAGATGCACTCCAGCCTTGAACGCCTTCCCTGGAGACAGAGCTACACAGAGGTACAGGGCAGCTGGACTCCAGGCTCCTGGAGAGACTATTCCCTCATGTTCTAAAGCAGCAGAAGATACCACCCCCCCAAACCCCGGGCTCTCTGCTGCTAATGCTGGGCTACTCTGCTGGCAGATGCTGGCTCTGTGCAGGCAGCATCACAGTGGGGAATGGAGCTCATCCCTGACCCCACCTGAGAGCTCACACCCCCTGCCGGAGCCCCCACCCCCTCCCACATCCCAGCCCACTGCTTCAGCCTACAAATGGATTTTATACACCCCCTGGGGGAATCTGTTCCTTCCCCAGGGCATCCCCTGCTTGGTGACTGCTCTCTCCCTGTGCTCACATCATGCAAGGAGAGTGGATTGGGGGCGGGGGGGGCGCTCAGCAATGGTGACACTAGTTGGTGTCTGGCTCTACAGGCACAAAGGGATTTTGCCCAGCCCTGGCTCAAATGGGGTTTTCTCTGCATTTGATTCAAATTCCCTCTGTGCCAGGCAGATTTTAAGACTCTCAACTGCATCCTCTGCTCAAAAGAGGGAGCAAGTTGCCTGCACTGTCAGAGAATCCTCCCCCTCCATGCAGGAGCAGATTCCCCTCTCCTCCTGCTGATGCCATGGAGTGGGATAAACAGGCCACTTCCTGCCTTTAATCAACCTCAGGGCGCAGTGGGGGGGCGGAGGGGGAAAATATCTGGAAAGAAAAACTCACTTCCTGTTACAGAAGAAAAAGATAAAGCCTGGACTCATTAAAGTGAATTTTACTGTGGCGAGAAGGGAAGGAGTCAAACACAATGTCCTTGAAATTTCCTCCACAGGGCTGTGTCCATGAAAACAGGATAAAGCCACTTCCGCTGTCTCTGCCATGGAGCTCAAATGGGGGCGGGGGGAATACTCGGGCTCTGGGGGTGGGAAAAGTGTGATGTTCTCTCTGGGTGGGAAGGGGTTAGAGGTGGGGGGTCCCTTTTGTGCTTTACTTCAGGGCATCCAGATGAGTGCAGACCTGTATGAACACGTCATCCACAGAGCCTTCTGCATTCAGCTGTAGGGGCAAAGGAGGAAAGCCAGTCAGGACAGGGCCATAGAGAAGCCCCTAGACTACATCCTGCATCGTGCAGCACCGCACAGGCCTGGGACAGCCCAGCTCCCAGATCTCCATGCTAGCCAGAGGATCTACTCCTGGCAGGCGCAATGCCCTCAGAATCCATTCCACAGCGCCTGAGGCCTGTCTGGCTCTGGGGGGCACCGGGCCTGAGGCCTGTCTGCTCCGGGTTGCCAGGCCCAAGGCCTGGTTGGAAAGCCCTCTCTGCTGCTTCTCTTCCCTCCTCAGAGCCCCATCCCTCCTTTGTTCTCCTCCCCTGCTTGTTGATCCATAGTAGCAGGGCGTGCTGACAGCCAACCTTGAATGTGGCTTGCTCTGGGATTTCCTCAGATCAGAGGCATCTGAGGGTGCATTCTGCCCCTTTAAGTGCTGGGAAGCCCCAGACCATCTGAGACACAAGGACGGCAAGTGGCTCAGACCTGCCAAAACCCACAATGGACTCTGCAGAGTCTCAGCAGATGGGAAAGGGCCAGTTCCACCCCCACCCATCCCCAGTTGGCTTGTGGCCAACGTACCTTCCGGACGATCCCTCTTTTCTCGTAGAATGCGATGACCGGCTCAGTGGCCTTGTAGTAAGTGTCCAGGCGCTTCTTGATCGTCTCCTCATTGTCATCCACCCGCCCGCTGGTCTCACCCCGTTTCAACAAACGCTTGACCATGGTGTCCTTCCCTGCATCCACGTAGAGCAGCAGTGTTGGGGGGGCGATCTGTTGGGGAGGAGAACCAGGGAAACGTCCTTACCTATACAGACAGGCTTTGGCTTTACCAAGTTCATAGTTTCCTCCACTAGCCCTGCAGCATGATGACCCGAGGGGTGGGGGAGACTGTGCCCCGCGTCGTCACTGAATCACCCTGACATGGAGGAAGGGAAGGGAGAGCTGGGTCTGGAGCAGTCACCCTTTAGGGTGACCAGGTGTCTAGTTTTCAACAGGAACACCCGGTCAAAAAGGGATCCTGGAGGCTCCGGCCAGCACCGCTGACCAAGCCGTTCACTGTCCAGTTGTCAGCGCCAAGCAGTGGGGCTGGCAGGCTCCCTTCTAGCCTCCATGCTGCATGGCTCCCAGAAAGCAGCCGGCATTTCCCCCCCTCCAGCTCCTATGTGTAGGGGCACCCAGGGGGCTCCCCATCCTGCCCCGCCCCAAGTGCTGTCCCCACAGCTCCCACTGGCTGGGAACCAAGGCCAATGGGAGCTGCAGGGGTGGTGCCTGCGGACAGGGCAGCATGCAGAGCTGCCTGTCCATGCCTCCGCTTGGGAGCCCGGAGGGGCGACATGCTGCTGCTTCTGGGAGCTGCTTGAGGTAAGAGCCACCAGGAGCCTGCATCCCTGAACCCCACAATGTCCCAACTCCCTACCCCAGCCCTGATCCATCTCCAACCCTCCAAACCCCTCGGTCCCAGCCCAGAGGACCCTCCAAACCCCAAATCCCCATCCCCACCACAGAGCCTGCAACCCCAGCCAAAGCCCTCACTCCCTTCACCGCACCCCAACCCCCTGTCCCAGCCCTGATCCCTCTCCCGTCCTCTGAACCCCTCATCCCTGACCCCACCCCAGAGCTCACACCCCCAGCCGGAGCCCTCACCCCCTCCCAAATCCCAGACCACTGCTTCAGCCTGGAGCCCCCTCCCGCACTCTGATCTACTAATTTCTGGCCCCACCCCAGAGCCCGCACCCCCAGCCGGAGCCCTCACCCCCTCCTGCACCTCAGCCCCCTGAGCCAGCCCAGTGAAAATGAGCGAGTGAGTGAGGTGGGCAGAGCGAGCGACAGAGGGAGGGGGGATGGAGTGAGCAGGGGCGGGGCCTCTGGGAAGGGGTGTTGACTTCTGTCGAATTGTGGAAGTCAACGAATGGCTACGCAGGTGGTGTCGGAGAGAAGGCTTTGGATTCTTTGACCATGGGATGGTGTTCCAAGAAGGAGGAGTGCTAGGCAGAGATGGGCTCCACCTAATGAAGAGAGGGAAGAGCATCTTCGCAAGCAGGCTGGCTAACCTAGTGAGGAGGGCTTTAAACTAGGTTCACCGGGGGAAGGAGACCAAAGCCCTGAGATAAGTGGGGAAGTGGGATACCGGGAGGAAGCACGAGCAGGAGCGTGCGAGAGAGCGGGGTCCTGCCTCATACTGAGAAAGAGGGACAATCAGCGAGTTATCTCAAGTGCCTATACACAAATGCACGAAGCCTGGGAAACAAGCAGGGAGAACTGGGAGTCCTGGCACAGTCAAGGAATTATGATGTGATTGGAATAACAGAGACTTGGTGGGATAACTCACATGACTGGAGTACTGTCATGAATGGATATAAACTGTTCAGGAAGGACAGGCAGGGCAGAAAAGGTGGGGGAGTTGCATCGTATGTAAGGGAGCAGTTTGACTGCTCAGAGCTCAAGTATGAAACTGCAGAAAAACCTGAGAGTCTCTGGATTAAGTTTAGAAGTGTGAGCAACAAGGGTGATGTCGTGGTGAGAGTCTGCTATAGACCACGAGGCTTTCTTCCGGCAACTCCGGCAAGTTACTAGATCGCAGGCCCCGGTTCTCATGGGAGACTTCAATCACCCTGATATCTGCTGGGAGAGCAATACAGCGGTGCACAGACAATCCAGGAAGTTTTTGGAAAGTGTAGGGGACAATTTCCTGGTGCAAGTGCTGGAGGAACCAACTAGGGGCAGAGCTCTTCTTGACCTGCTTTTCACAAACCAGGAAGAATTAGTAAGGGACGCTAAAGTGGATGGGAACCTGGGAGGCAGTGACCATGAGATGGTCGAGTTCAGGATCCTGACACAGGGAAGAAAGGAGAGCAGCAGAATACGGACCCTGGACTTCAGAAAAGCAGACTTTGAGTCCCTCAGGGAATTGACGGGCAGGATCCCCTGGGAGCATAACATGAGGGGGAAAGGAGTCCAGGAGAACTGGCTGTATTTTAAAGAATCCTTACTGAGGTTACAGGGACAAACCATCCCGATGTGTAGAAAGAATAGTAAATATGGCAGGTGACCAGCTTGGCTTAACAGTGAAATCCTTGCTGATCTTGAACACAAAAAAGAAGCTTACAAGAAGTGGAAGATTGGACAAATGACCAGGGAAGAGTATAAAAATATTGTTCGGGGATGCAGGAGTGAAATCAGGAAGGCCAAATCACACTTGGAGTTGCAGCTAGCAAGAGATGTTAAGAGTAACAAGAAGGGTTTCTTCAGGTATGTTAGCAACAAGAAGAAAGTCAAGGAAAGTGTGGGCCCCTTACTGAATGAGGGAGGCAACCTAGTGACAGAGGATGTGGAAAAAGCTAATGTACTCAGTGCTTTTTTTGCCTCTGTCTTCATGAACAAGGTCAGCTCCCAGACTACTGCACTGGGCAGCACAGCATGGGGAGGAGGTGACCAGCCCTCTGTGGAGAAAGAAGTGGTTCGGGACTATTTAGAAAAGCTGGACGAGCACAAGTCCATGGGGCCGGATGCGCTGCATCCGAGAGCGCTAAAGGAGTTGGCAGATGTGATTGCAGAGCCATTGGACATTATCTTTGAAAACTCATGGCGATCGGGGGAAGTCCCGGACGATTGGAAAAAGGCTAATGTAGTGCCCATCTTTAAAAAAAGGGAAGAAGGAGGATCCTGGGAACTACAAGCCAGTCAGCCTCACCTCAGTCCCTGGAAAAAGAGGGACTTTTTCCCTCTTGGAAATGGAGCAGGTCCTCAAGGAATCAATTCTGAAGCACTTAGAAGAGAGGAAAGTGATCAGGAACAGTCAGCATGGATTCACAAAGGGCAAGTCATGCCTGACTATTCTAATTGCGTTCTATGACGAGATAACTGGCTCGGTGGATGAGGGGAAAGTTGTGGACATGTTGTTCCTTGACTTTAGCAAAGCTTTTGACACCGTCTCCCACAGTATTCTTGCCAGCAAGTTAAAGAACTATGGGCTGGATGAATGGACTATAAGGTGGATAGAAAGTTGGCTAGATTGTCGGGCTCAACGGGTAGTGATCAATGGCTCCATGTCTAGTTGGCATCCAGGATCAAGTGGAGTGCCCCAAGGATCGGTCCTGGGGCTGGTTTTGTTCAATAACTTCATAAATGATCTGGAGGATGGTGTGGATTGCACCCTCAGCAAGTTTGCAGATGACACTAAACTGGGGGGAGAGGTAGATACGCTGCAGGGTAGGGATAGGATACAGAGGGACCGAGACAAATTAGGGGATTGGGCCAAAATGGATGAGGTTCAACAAGGACAAGTGCAGAGTCCTGCACTTAGGACGGAAGAATCCCATGCTACAGACTAGGGACCGAATGGCTCGGCAGCAGTTCTGCGGAAAAGGACCTAGGGGTTACAGTGGACGAGAAGCTGGATATGAGTCAACAGTGTGCCCTTGTTGCCAAGAAGGCCAATGGCATTTGGGATGTATAAGTAGGGGCATTGCCAGCAGATCGAGGGACGTGATCGTTCCCCTCTATTCGACACTGGTAAGGCCTCATCTGGAGTACTGTGTCCAGTTTTGGGCCCCACACTTCAAGAAGGATGTGGAAAAATTGGAAAGAGTCCAGCGAAGGGCAACAAAAATTATTAGGGGACTGGAACACATGAGTTATGAGGAGAGGCTGAGGGAACTGGGATTGTTTAGTCTGCAGAAGAGAAAAACGAGGGGGGATTTGATAGCTGCTTTCAACTACCTGAAAGGGGGTTCCAAAGAGGATGGATTTAGACTGTTCTCAGTGGTAGCTGATGACAGAACAAGGAGTAATGGTCTCAAGTTGCAGTGGGGGAGGTTTAGGTTGGATATTAGGAAAAACTTTTTCACTAGGAGGGTGATGAAACACTGGAATGAGTTACCTAGGGAGGTGGTGGAATCTCCTTCCTTAGAAGTTTTTAAGGTCAGGCTTGACAAAGCCCTGACTGGGATGATTTAGCTGGGGATTGGTCCTGCTTTGAGCAGGGGGTTGGACTAGATGACCTCCTGAGGTCCCTTCCAACCCTGATATTCTATGATTCTATGACAGGGGCCGGGGCAAGGGTGTTCGGTTTTGTGCGAGTAAAAAGTTGGCAACCCTATCACCCCACCACTCTGACCCCGTGCAGACGAGGGTCAGGACTGTTACCCCAGTGTGCACCAACATACATGCCCTCACACCAACCATCCCATGGCAATCAGGTTGGGGGTAACTTGGATTTTCCGGGCACTGGGTGACTGTAGCTCACGAAAGCTCATGCTCAAATAAATTGGTTAGTCTCTAAGGTGCCACAAGTACTCCTTTTCTTTTTGCGAATACAGACTAACACGGCTGTTACTCTGAAACCTCTAATAGCTGGCTCTGTCTTTGCTCTGGAGCACGCGACTGCATATGTGCCAGGGGCACACTGAGCCTCCGTTTGCTTGTTACTTTGCACATGTTCATTAGCCCAGGCCATTTACCACCCTGACTTGTAGGTTCATCCCAGGCCACAGCCTGCTAAAAAGGATCCTTCCTCTTCAATTGTTTTTTCCAGCTGTTTCTATGGAGCAACCATTGCGCCACCTTGTGCCAGTCCCACGTATTACAGCCAGGGATCACTCCAACGCAGGTACCTTCCTCTCTCACAAGTTTTCTCCCCAGCCTCTCCAGGCCAGCACTAGCAGGGTTACAGTTTCCCTGGAGCAGACAGTAAAACCTGCTCCTAGGCAGCACACGGAACAGCCTTCCTGCTCTAACCCCATTAACAATACCATCATATACAACCTTGCACTCCAGACACCTTCAGGGTGTTTAAGGGGCTCACTGCAGCCACCTCTCGGGTGGAGCATGACAGTTATTTACCAGCATGCAGCAACCCTACCTCAGCAGTTCAGGATGGGAAGGAAAGACGAATCTGACACTCAGTTGAACATGACTGGGTAACTGGGGGAGGCAGAACGTAATTACTCAAGTTGAGCTGGGACAAAACCTGTTCTACAGAAAATAGCAGTGATCCAGACCTTGGCTCGACATCACAACCTAAAGATGGTGCCTCCAGGAGCAGATGAGATGGTCTGCCCCAATGAATCGACCCCACCACTTCCCCATTTCTAGGGTCGCCTTATCCAGCCATCGAGCAATCCCACCACGCTGAGTTTGTGACAAAACTACCACACGTGTGGGTGTGATGTCCAGTGTTTGGGGGCAAGGGGTGAGAAGACACTGCTGGCACTGCTGTCTACACTCACTGTTTGTGTCTCTCCCCTGGGGAGCGTATCCCTTTTCTGCCCCACTGAACAGCTGCTCAGCCCCTGCTCTGCTCTCTAGGGTGGCTCTGGTTCTGCTTGACAAGCTTTTAGTGCAAATGGTAGCACGCTCAGTCAGGATTGTGCCAAGTGGATGGCCCTCCCAACGGCATTGGAGCCTCTGCCACCCTCTTCCTCACCTTCTTCTCAAACTCCACACCTTGCTTCACCTCTCGGGGGTAGCCGTCAATCAGGAATCCCTTGGAGACATCTGCCTTGGCCACCATGGCGTCTCGCAGCATATCAAGCACCGTGTCCTGAGGGGAGGGGAAACGTAGGTGTTTTAGGTCACAGTTAGGGACAGCGCTTTCAGTTCCAGCTAGCTGGCAGCTTTGCCGAGTCTCCCGCAGTCGCTGGGCTCCCCTTCCCTATGGGCAGCCCTACCTCTTAGTGAAAAGCCACAGGAGCATCAATGTTTGTCCTCGATCACACCAACAGACAGATCCTTTTGCAGGATCCAGGGACCATATGCAGCTCCTGTCTCACCAGAGGAGGCACAGCAAGCAGCGGCTGCTCACCGTGGTCTCTGGGCACCAACACCCACAGACATGGAGCTTGTCCTCCCCCATTTTATGCCCTAACTTGCTCCCCTCCCCAGCTGCCAGAGCACTTTCTCCCTGCTGCTGCCAGGAGCGACCAGACTCCTGGGAAGCCAGGTCCATAAGCCATCCCCTAAGAGCTGGGAAAGAGGTGCTCCAACAGTGGCCCTTCCATGCACCTGCCTCAGCTCCCCACAATGCACTGCAGCCAGGAAAGCAGGTGGCCTGAGATGGCCTCCGCATCAGGTTCTCACACGCCAGCATGGGTAGCTGGAAATGTGCCAGGATGTAACGCTTTAAGACCCACTTCCTTCCACTGCAAAAACGGCCCAGACTCACCAGGGGCACCAGCTCTCCCTTCTCCATGATGGCAGAGAGCTTCTTGCCTCTCTCTGAGCCAGAATTGACCTCTGCTCTCAGGAGGTCTCCAGTGGACAGATGGGTGTAGCCATACTTCTGGACAATCTTCTCACATTGGGTCCCTTTCCCTGAGCCGGGCCCACCTGCAATTCACACAAGGACAAGGCCCAGATTCAAAACACAGAAGGGGGAGGATGGGAAAAGAGCTTGGGTGCTTCCGAGGCAAAAATCCCACCTAGCAACAGCCCTGTTTCATCCTCCTCTTTGTTCTTACTTACTAGGAGCCTCTGCACACAATGGGGACCTTAGGTAAGGAGTTCAGGGCTCCTGCTGGGCTCCGAGCCCTCTGCCCCAGGCAGCACAACCAGCTCTGGGGAGATTATTATGATCTCATCAACAGGTCAGCGTGAAGCAAAACAGGCAGCAGCTGAACCCCAAAGCCAGGAAGCTCCTGTCTTTGTGTCTCTATCGCTAGTGACAAAAGGTGGGCGGCGGGGAGAGAAACAGAGATACCCGCAGAACTGCCTCCACAGGACATGGATCCACATTTCCCCCACAAAGCGCCCGTGTGTCTTTGAAAGCAGCTGCCCAGGATGTCACCCGAAATCTGTGGCTCAGCTGCCACTTCAAACCTAGCCCAAGCTGGGACTTTGCTTGGTGGCCTACATGAATAAAAGGGGCCGGGGGGCGGAGGGGTGTCACTGTGTGTCCGATGCATCCGATAGTCTCAGCAGAGAGAAGCAAAGGACTGAATGGGCCCTGGAGACTGTGCCCCCACTCATGCCTCCAGAGGTGGCTCCTCCAGGTGAGGTGGAGGAAGGCAGGTTGTGGAAGCTCTCCCCTATGCTGTACCTGATCTGGGGGTAATTAGAGGCCTTCAGGGCACCCTCCCCAACAACACCAAAAGCAAAGGTGGCAAGCGCCCACAGGCCCTCTGTTCCGTCTCGGTGCCACAGCAGGGCGCTCTCTATTGCCCACTCCCATGTATTCTGTCCAGTCTGGTTTTGGATGATAGCCACGACTTCCCTTTGGAGGCCAGGGCAAACATTTGCAGACATGGCTAGAGATTTTTAGAGCGCAACTTAGGACATCTTAAAGGCACCTGATGACCCGAAAGCTCCGAGCACCTGCCTGCTGAAAATCAGACCCCTTTACAGGATCTCAGGTTGGCCCCCTGAAATCCCAGGTCTCTTTGAAAACTTCAGCTTAAAATTTGAAGGACAGGGTCCCATGTCACAGCCCCATGAGCTCAGTGGATGTGGCTTTAGGTAACCGAGCCAGGACTGAAAGCGCCGCTCACGACTCCTCAGCTTTTCACTGAGCCCATCGCTGACTTACCCACCACGAAGATGATTTTGCTGTTCTTCAGTTTTTCTGTGGGAGAAGGAAAAGCAGAGAAGAGGATTAGTCCGAGAGTGAGTGAGCGATCGCAGGAAGGAAACCTCCCCCGAGCCGGGACAAATCCCTCTCGACCACTTCCCCAGGGGATCTGCCTGGAGGAGGGAACTTGGCAACCAGCCCCAGTTCCCCGGGGATAAATGGGAGCAGAACACGGTCAGCAGTGGGCCGTTCGGTGGCTTCATGGCAGGCGATATGGGGACATTGCCCCCCCAGGGTACCTTTGCCAGCCTTTTCCGCTGAGGCAGCCAGGCAAGAGCACTCTGTCCCCATCTCTCCGACTCGCTGGCTCCTGCTCTCCTCTGTTCCCCCCCTTCTTGCCAAGCAGTTTCTGCTCAGCACATTTTGATGCCTGAGCCAGCGGCTGGCCTCCCTTCAGGGCTGGGCCAGGCTGGAGCCTTGTGGTCAATGGCTAACACACATTGCCAGGGAGACGGTTGCTAGGATATGGCAGGAGCCAAGCCTCAGCCACATCACAGAAGCCAGTGGGCAAAGATTCTGATCTCAGTCAATCTGGAGTGACCCCATGGGGGGCTGGTGTAAATGGGCTCAGACAGCAGCTCTTGGCGGTACCTCTCACGGAACAGCCTTATACCGTGGAACCCGACAGCCATGAGCCCCCACAACATGGCGCCCACACCAATGCCACCCAGGACCCATCCTCTAGCACTGAGCTGTAGCTTTTGATGTATATATAAGGATAGGGGAGAAAGTGGTAGGACATCCCAGGTTCCCCAGGCACACAAGGCAGGGCACTGGGTGGCATCCATCTTCCTTCTGACCGGGAGGATGGCTTCCTCTTGGCCTCTGCCCCACCGCCTCAGATGCCTCCAGAGAGAGGACCAAATTCATCCCTGGTGTAACTCAGCTGGCTTCACTGGAGCTACACCAGGGAGGGATTTGGCCCACTGTAAGTAAGCTCAAAATCCGAGGGCCCCCAGTGAGACAAGGAGACTAAGGAATCAAACAGCGAGTCAGGGCCTCAGCCCTTTGAGAAAGGCATGGGCCATGGGATGAAACAGGCGGGTGCTTCCTTCTAGGGAGGGGAGAAGCTCCTTCAGCCTGTGGCGATTGACATCTCCCCCTTTAGCGCCCGCACCATTACAAAACCTAAGGGTGATTCACCTCTCTCCCGGGACACGTTCCCTCCCCAGAGGCTCACGTCCGTGGCCTGGCAGGTGCTTCACAAACTCTGACCCCTCGCAGATATCACTGTCTCCCATCTGCCCCAGCCAATACCTCCACAAGCTCTGCTGAGCCAGCCACTCCAATTCCAGATCTTCCACCTGCTCCAGTCGCCCCATCACAGCCTCTGTGCCCACCTCTTGCACAAGCCCATCATCTCTGATATTCCCACCCGCCATGGTATGTCCACCCGCGGACATGACCACTATTTCCGACACGCATTCCCCTTTTCCTTGCCCACCCTCTCTGGCCATTAAACTCTCTGTGTGAAATCCTGCTGCCAGTTACACCAATATAAAGCTGGAGTAACTGCACAGGTGTACATACAGTCAGGGGCTGTGAAGCACCACTTAAAGTGTGTGTGTGGGGGGAACAGATTTATGCCACACCCCTGCCTAGCCCTCTCTTCCCTTCTCAGGTGCCCCCTGCACCAGCAGCCTGACCCTCCCACCCCCCGGCTCATGAGCCCCTACACCCACCCCCTCCATATTTGAATGCGTGGTGTTGTGGTGGGTGGGAGCTTCAGTGTCACTCTGGTTTGGCCTGGCCAAAAAGTGGTCAGGCTGATGGCCTAGACGACTCCCCCAGCCTATGCACAGAGTTACTCTAGCTTTACACCAGTGTGACTGAGAGCAGAATCTGGCCCCCATGCCACGCACAACAGCAAATATTACGCTGGATTAGCACCAGGAGGGCCGGCTCACTTGCATTTGGCCGCAGCTATAAATCCCCACCCAGGAAAGAATCTCCTCCAAAAAGCCAGAGTGACAAGAGAGATGCAACCATTGACCCTCTCAGAAAAGTTGCAACCTCAGTGTCCCAGCTGCCCCCCTCCCCCAATTCACATTGGGCCAACATCCCAGCTCCACAACCGAGAGGTTCCCTCAGCGTCACAGTCATTCTGGGAGTGGGCAATTTAATTCGAAGTCACCATTAATTCCAGTGCCTGGAGCTGATAGGGAGCTCCTCTCCCCAGGTACAGTACGCTGGAACATTTTCAAAGCTGGGTGAATGGTCCTGTCTCAAGTGTCGCAAGGACAAGGCAGAAGTGCTAAAAATAAAGGAAGATGTTCTCAGAGCTGGCTGTGGCTTGGAGTCTGCAGCTCCCAGCAATAAGAGGTCTTCTGATTGCAGCCTTCTAAAATTACACCTCCGAGCAGACGGGGAACAGGGTGGCCTTTGGCAGTTAAGATGCTTTCTGATCACGTTGGCAGATGAGATCTGACTGTGCCAAGGAGCTCATGCAGGGAAAGGCAGAGCCATGGTTGCAAGCACTGGCTGAGACACTGCGGGACTGCGTGTGGTTGGCTCACTATAAAAGCAATTTTCCCTCTCTTGGTATTTACACCTCCTCATCAATTGTTGGGAGTGGACCACATACACCCTGACTAAATTGGCCTTGAACACTGGTTCTCCACTTGCAAGGTAGAACTCCTTTCTCTTCATGTGCCAATATATATTTATGCCCATTTCTGTAATTTTTATTCCATGCATCTGAAGAAGTGGGTTTTTTACCCACGAAAGCTTATGCCCTAATAAATCTGTTAGTCTTTAAAGTGCCACAGGACTCCTCATTGTTTTTGTCTGAGACACTGGGGATGTTCTTCAGGAATTGGAGCAAAACTGGGAATGGAGAAAAGGCTGTTTGATGGTTAGGGCACTGCACAGGGAGCCAGAGGACGGGGTTCAATTCCTGGCTCTGTCACAGATTTGCACTATGGATAACATTTGCAAAAATGCTCAAGTGACTTAGAAACTTAAGTCCCACATTTTCAAAGGCTCTGTCTACACTTCAAATCCTACAGCAGAGACACTCACTACAGTGATGGGTGGGGTTCTCCCACTGGTGTAGCTAATCTGCCTCCCTGAGAGGCGGTAGCTAGGTGGACGGAGGGCATTCTTTCTAGCAATGTCTACATCGGGGTGAGGTCAGTATAGCTGCATCTCTCAGGGGGGTGGATTTTTCACATCTTCAAGAGACATAGCTATGCTGATGTAAGTTCCCAGCGTAGACCAGCCCAAAGTGGTTTCCACACGTAGCAGCCTCAAGTCTCACTGAAAGCCAACGCTTTTGAAAATGGGACTTGAGTATATTTGAAAATTGTTATCCCTCACTCCCTTTGTGCCACAGTTCCCACCTATCAAACAGGGATAATACTTCACCACCCACTAGGGAGGCTGTAAGGATATATTCAGAGCCCATGGCAATGGGAGCCAAAGACAGAGGTGTACAGACAGGGGATTGGCTCTCGGTTGTATAGCCTGTCACTGGCTCAGGTTGGTAGTAACGAAGTCGTCACAGAATCATAGAAGATTAGGGTTGGAAGAGACCTCAGGAGGTCATCTAGTCCAACCCCCTGCTCAAAGCAGGACCAACCCCAACTAAATCAACCCAGCCAGGGCTTTGTCAAGCCGGGCCTTAAAAACCAATAAGGATGAAGATTCCACCACCTTCCCGGGTGACCCATTCCAGTGCTTCACCACCCTCCTAGTGAAATAGTTTTTCCTAATATCCAACCTAGACCTCCCCCACTGCAACTTGAGACCATTGCTCCTTGTTCTGTCATCTGCCACCACTGAGAACAGCCTAGCTCCATCCTCTTTGGAACCCCCCCTTCAGGTAGTTGAAGGCTGCTACCAAATCCCCCCTCACTCTTCTCTTCTGCAGACTAACAATCCCATTTCCCTCAGCCTCTCCTCATATATCATGTGCCCCAGCCCCCTAGTCATTTTCGTTGCCCTCCACTGGACTCTTTCCAATATGTCCACATCCTTTCTGTAGTGGGGGCCCAAAACTGGATGCAATATTCCAGATGTGGCCTCATCAGTGCTGAATAGAGGGGAACAATCACCTCCCTGATCATCTGATGGCTCTTCTCCGGTCTGGGAGAAACAAGCTGAGTGGTTCTCAGTCCAGTTGCTAGTGAACAAGTGCCAGCCTCACAAAAACCACCCTCATAACCAGCACTAATCGGCAACCTTGGCAGTAGTGATGCCAGGGACTGACTGAGGGCCATGGAGACTGAACTCCCCTCTCGGCCCTAGAAACGGTCCCTGCAGGCCAGTGCTGAGGTCTCACGGCAGGACAGGGTGGGGACACCAGGGACGTACTGCTGCTGCCAGGGCCGTGTCCCTTAGTCACTAGGGCTGTTATTCTGTGTTTACAGAGCAGAGAGCAACCCACTGCCTCCAGGCTAGAGCAGGTGAAGACCCAGGTGAAACCCAAAGAGGAGAGAGGGAGAGGGGGAACACCCTGACAGCTGCGAGCCCTCATACTGGGCTCAAGTGCAAGGACCGCGCATGGATGCTGCCAGCCAGGACCAATTGTCCAAGGGAGGTGCCTTAGTTCTTTCCGGCTCCTGATCCTTCCAGCATGCATGAGCCTTGCATTTCCGCTGTTCTGGGCTGGCAGGGAGATGAGTGGAAAAGAGGAAGAGAACCAAGGAAGGACACAAGGTTTCTAAAAGGGGATAACGCAACAACAGAACCTGAGCCTGGTTAGCAGAGATGGCCCTGAGCCAGAACTCTGGATCCAACATCCCTCCCCTCCCCCAGCCATACCCTGGATCTGCACTTGGGGGCTCAGGCCCATTGCTATGGGCTTAGACAACTGGATGTAGCCTTAGTAAGATGGAGACAGATGCGTGGAGAGAAGGAGCCACGCCCAAGCCAGGGAAAGGGAGGTCTCACCTGTTGCCATCCTCAGAAGATCTGGGCAAAGAAGCTCTTCAGTCTGAAAGGAAACAGAACTCCTGGTTAGACAGTGCAGGAGGGCCTGGGGGGTCAGCTATGGGCTTTAGGAAGGGGCTGGTTTGGCCTTCAGAAACAGCCCCAGTCCCTTTCCTCCTGAGGCTAAGTAGTCCTTAATGCTTCCCAGGGCCCATGCTCCCCCTTAGCTCACTGGGTTTCAATCTCTTCCCACCTCTCAAATACATTTCCTAGAAAATGGAAGAAGGTGATTCCCACTGTTTGCTCAGCTGCCAGTATCTTGGAGCAGAGGAACACGTCAGCTCCCCTGCACACACATGGCTACCCACACACGAATGGCACAGGCCCACAAACACAGCACCCTAGTAACTGCTCCCTTGTTCTGTTCTAGAGAGTGACTGACAGGGCTGGGGACAGAGGTGCAGGTTCCTGAGGCTCCCAGGCTGGTTGGCAATCAGGCACCTACTTACTGGAAGCTGGTGCATTTGAAGACATGTCCGAAGACTTCAGAGGAGGAGGCCCCAACCTCCCCTGCAGCTCAGAAGGCTCTCAGCCTATAGCCCATTCTAGCATAGCGGTTCTGAACCAGCAATCCCACTACCTGATGGACACGGACACTTCAGAGCCTTCCTCTAGCTGCTTTCTGCTACCCGGTCTGATCCAGAGAACAGCAGTCCCCCGGCCACCTGGGAGTGCCTCAGTGCCTATGGCACGTCACTGTGACAACCAGCCCTTCCTGCCTCCTCTTCCACCCAGGGAGGGAGAGAAAAAGCAAGAGAGAAAACACAGGAGACAAAACCCACCCGAGACAGGAACCGTGAGATAGATTCTGAGCAGCGAGAAATCAGAGAGCCAGAGATGGGCACGGGGACAGACCCCGTCAGTCAGACCTGGTCACCAGCCCGGCTGATCCAGTCCTGCCTGTCACAGCAGCAGCACTTGGTGTCGGAGCCTGGTGGCTGCCTTTGCATGTTTCATAAGCGTTGCTTCGGTGACAGCGGGAGCTCAGGGGATGAAGAAGCATCCTACAGAACCTGTTCCAGCCTCGTGACCCAGGGCTTAGTGCACCGCCCCAGCAGGCAAGAGGCCTGGGTTTGAGCCAACTGGATCACCAGCACACCCCGCTCCTTGGAGGGCAGGTGGAGAGCCTTGCTTTGGCCATTGGGGGGCGCTCCCACCCCCCCTTGTTCCTGCTCCCTCTTCTCCAGCCCCATTTCCTCCCCCCCATGGGATGCAGGGCCACCCTCAGCCAGGCGGTCAGGTCTCTTCTCCTGGGCACTGCACTCTGGTCTGGTGCTCTGGTGAAGATTTGGCATAACTAGCAGTCAGTGCTTAGACTCTGCTATGGGCCCAGCTGGGAGCCCTGAGCCATGTCTCCAGGGCAGCAGGCAGATTCCACTGTGCAGCGTTTGCCTGAGGGACTAGCTGCTCTCAAGCTGAGTTTGGGGGTGGAAACTAAGAGGGTGACGGGTGCTTTGACTCGCTGGGGTGAAGTGGGGAAAACTGGGGCATCTGGAATAGCTTGGGGCGGAGGGGATACGAAGTGCGAGTTTAGCCTTCTTCTTCCTTAGACAGATTAAAGGAAGAGCATTGGACATTCCCCCCCGGAGTCTCCAAAGTCTCCCGGGGCTGGAGCGCTCCAAGCCAGTGGCATGCAAGGGGAGCTCTTGGAGGAAGAGCTTTAGATAAAGCCTAGCCACAGAGTTTGATTAATGAATGATGAACTCCTCTCCCTGGCACAGTGTTATTGCACTCAACCCAATGGGGTCACAACGGCACAGGAGGGCTTGTGGGTGCGAGTGCATGTACATAGACCTTCCCTGCTGGGTTCTCTACATACTCATCCCAGAGGGTTTGCTATGAGGCAAGAACCAAGTTGACAGTAATATTGCATCTCCGTGGGCCTGCTGTTTACAGGGTAGGAATCAAGAGGGGCAGAAAAGCAGGGTAACAGGACCCCTTTAAAATTTACTACTGTGACATTGTAGAGGGAGTTCGGGGTGACACCCCCTTAGCCCTGAGTACTGGACACACATGATCGTGGGGGCAGCTGAGGGCTGCATTATTCAATACGTTTCCCCACTAGAAGAGAGACCCCAAATTCCCTTCCAATGCTCAGCTGTACGTCTGCCTTGACACGATCAGTCCCATTTGGGGCTGTCTTGCATCCCCTCACTCTGTGACCACAGGTTTTGTTGATCCCAAAAGTCAGCTGCATCCTCAAGACGACAAAGTCATGCTGCTGAGGTCCATAGCAAGCCTCACCCGGCTAGGGTGGGGCAGTGGCTCGGGGCTCCAGCAGAAATGGAGAGACCTGGTTGCCTTCACGGAGCCCCAGAAGCTGGAACATGCAGATGTTTCTCATGCACCTTTATCTAACTCAGCCCTCCCTTCCCCACAAGTAGCCAGCCATGATTCCAGGCCCCCCGCCCCCATTCCCTTGATATCTTCAGCAACTGACAGTGCACATCCGCCTTGCTGACTCCCTAGGGGGGAGGGCAGTTTACCTCGATTCACAGACTCCAAGGTCAGAAGGGACCCTTGTGGTCATCTAGGCTGACCTCCTGTGTAACACAGGCCAGAGAACTTCCCCCAAATAATTCCTAGTGCGGATCCTTTAGCAAAACAGACAGTCTCGATTTTAAAATTGCCGGTAATGGAGAATCCAACAGGACCCTTGGTAAATTGTTCCCCATCCTCCAGGGCTCACAGAGAATCCTGGCAATGTAGGGCTAGAAAGGGACCTCAAGAGGTTGAGGTGCCTGTTCGGGTATTAGCCCCCAAACCAGAAAGAGTCACCATCACTAAGAGTGCCAGCAGACCCATCCAGCCCCTGTTCAAACCTCTCTGACATGCAGGGAGAACTTGTGTCACTTTTCTCCAGCCTAGAATGGCCAGTCCAAAGGGTTCATAAATCATGAGTCAGGTCCCCAAAAAAGACGATTTCCTTCAGAGTCATGAGACTTTTTAAAATCATAAGTGTTGGGGTCTTTTTGTCTTTTGGTTACTGAGCCATTGGGCGGCATTTGGATTCATGTTCTCAAGCTTTTCTCTTCAGTCAAGCTGGAAACTGGCTTTTTAAACAAACAAACAAACAAACAAACAAAAACTGAGATTCTCATCTAATCACATGACTCCAAGACCTGGGGCTTTAAGAAAAACACCAGGTATCCTGTGATAAAATTGCCAGAGCTGGCATCGCTGCGTTCACCTAGAAACAGAGCCAACTGGTGTATGCATGCGTGAGCCCGGCACCGCACCCCTGTGATAGGAACCCCCTCGAGGGATGCTCTCTCTCACACAGACCTTGCACGCTTCAGACCTCACTTCCAGAATTCACAGCTTCCCTTTCCCAGAGATCAGAGAGGAAGTCATATGACCCAGCCTCCACTGTGCCCCCTGCACAGCCTGATCAAGGCTCCACCCTTACAGAGCACCTGAGTAGAGCTAACTTAATCCACTGAGGGGCCAAGCTAACCCCTGGGTGTCACATCAGGAATGATCTTGGCCTGACAGCTTTACGATGCAGCCACCTTAGGTTGGAAACATAATGCTTACATCGGACACCTGTTGTTACCTGCCCCTGCGCTGCTCAGTGACCAGATCTCATCAGCTCTCAGCTTCCTTTGTTGCAGGAAGTTAACACATCTGATTGACAGTCCACCCAAATAAGCAAATTCTTAAAGGTACAGGGCCCAAATTCCACCCTGAGTTAAACTGGTGGGGGCCGGTAGGATTCCTACACATTGGTCACTGCATGGCCCTATTTCCTTGCAGCAATGTTGAATTAATGTGTGTTGAATGGAGAGTGAGTAAATGCAATACAGGTATGTAAACACTAGGGGGAGCATGGGGAAGAGAAGCATTTTGGGGGGGGACTGGAGAGAAGGCCGATGCATTTGGAGTGAGGGTGGAGTTGCTCCCATTTTCACCCCCTGACTGTGGGTCTACCCTGGGGGTTATTGAACTAGTGTTATTATGCCGATGCAGCTGCACCAGAGGGCACGCCCCGCGCGAGTGGAACAAGTGCAGCTTACCCTGGGTGTCGGTGTAAATCCCCTTTGACACCAGGGCAACTACATTGGTGCAAATCGCGCTTCCCCCTGATGCAGACAGGGCCTTACTCCAGTCTGTAGTGTGCAGGAACAGGGCAGTGTCCCTTTGGATAGTTCGCAAGCCCTCTAGTGGTGGATGTTGTATGTTTTCAGAAGCAGCCAGCACAGCAGGATGTGTGCCGTTTGGCATGTTTGGGGACAGGACTAACCAGCCCTCTGCCTTCCCTGTTGTGTATGAAGAGCAAAGACACAACCCTGGACTCCCCCCGCACACAGAACAGCCCGTCCTCCCCACCCATCTCCCACACGCAGTAGCCAACTTGCTGAACCTCCTGGGCACACTCCCGCAGCTGCCCAGCCCCCACAGAGAGCCATTCCTCTTCCCTCACCCAACTACAGGAGTCCCCCAGCCTCGGACATAGTGGCCCACCCCCATTGGCCCCCGGTGCACAGAACTGCAGCTCTCACCCTTCAGTAAGATGGGATCCAGGTGCTCGGAGAAGGGTTCTGGGTTCCTCATCAGCCTTGTGTTTTCACTTATTCCTGCCACTAGGGGGCATCCCAGGGCCCAATCCCCTCCTGCTCACCTGTGTTTGTCGCCTACGGGCAGCAAACCTGCCTGGCACGTCAGGGCCACCCTCATGCCCAGCAATGTAGGGAAAGCCTGAAAAGGCCTTGCGCATTAGGGAGCACATGAAAAACAGCTTGGGTAGCCCATCCCTAAAATAGATCCATGCCCTTCCAGAGCTAACGCCTCCTCCCCCGGGCAGGCCCAGCCTCAGTGGGGAAGAACAGAGGTCAGGTTACAGCCCCCAGCCCATGCCTAAAAAGGGCAGGTGCCCTTCAGCTTCAGCCTGCTCTGGGGTTCTAAGTATGGCCCAGGCATAAATCCTGCAGAGGTCACGTCCACACCTGTGCCAGGGTGGGGTTGGCCCCAAGGAGCAGCCAGCTAGAATCACAGTCTTTCCCC